TCAAGATATATATGAATATAGTTTTTTTTTTTAAAGTCAAGTAGTTTTCATTTTTTCTTCCCTATTGATCAACCCAGTTTTCATTAAACTAATGACTTGAAATTGCTATGTCATCAACTTCTCCCAAAGGGGGGCTTGGAGCACATTTAGATATTTGCAGCAAAGAGCGTTCTAGAAACAACGCTAAAAGCTTTCTGCTATGAAAGTGCTCACCAAGCATCAGTCTCACAGTGATGGGGATGAGGGTGTGAATAGTTTTAGACCCTGTGAGGGTGTGAATAGTTTTAGACCCTGATTATCATCTCCCCATTCATCAGAGAAACTGGAACTCCAAAGCCACAGAGCAGAGCCAAGGACAGACCCAGAGACGCTCACCAAAGCATTTGGGAACAGAGAATAGATAGTGATGTGAGTCTGAATATGAAAAAGGTGTTTCTGGGCCTGTAGAGACCTGTTCCTTTGTCCAGTTTAGCTCATGGGTCCCAATTACCATGCATCACCCCATCCCTGGCTTACCCCGTCCCAAAGCGTTTGCCCTTAGAAGATTGCAAAGTGGTGTTTAGAGTCAAATATATACCCCCCCTTTTGATTATAGTTCTAGTAACTACACTCACTCATATGTAGGATCAAAGAATGAGCCTCCTCTGTCTAGAAAAAAAAAAAGGTTTTAACAGAATCCATAGCTTCTTTGAGCGAAGCAATTAAGTCAGCCAGATTTGGCAAAACAAACCTGGCAATCAAAGGAGGAAGCCAGGCTCTCTCTCTTTTTTTTTTTAACTTATTTATTTATTTATTTTTGGCTGCGTTGGGTCTTCGTTGATGTGCGTGGGCTTTCTGTGAGTGGGGGCTACCTTTCGTTGTGGTGCACGGGCTTCTCATTGCGGTGGCTTCTCTTGCTGCAGAGCACGGGCTCTAGGTGCGCGGGCTTCAGTAGTTGTGGCTTGCGGGCTCTAGAGCGCAGGCTCAGTAGTTGTGGCGCAGGGGCTTAGTTGCTCCGCGGTATGTGGGATCCTCCTGGACCAGGGATCGAACCTGTGTCCCCTGCATTGGCAGGCAGATTCCTATCCACTGAGCCACCAGGGAAGCCCTGGAAGCCAGGCTCTTGACAGTTGTCTGCACATCCATCTATTCGCTTAGACACTGTCAGGGAGAGTCACAATATTCATGTCAAACTAGTCTCCAAATTCACTTATCCTCATTTCTTTCTCCAAGGCACCTTCTAACAGAGCATGCTAGTACTTGTGAGTGCTTAAGTGTGTTTGTGTGGGTTTTGGAGTCTGAACATCCCTGCTTGTGGAATACGCTTAATGTTTCTTCTGAAAAGATATCAGAGGAAAAAGTAAAGGATATTTCTGGGAATCCTGCTGTTATTCCACCTACCCATCTAGTTGACTCTCTAATTTTAAGCCACATTTTAATAAAAGACTTTGAATAGCTCTGCTTTTATGATTTAAATGGACTTTCAAATTGGGATTTAACCATCTGATATAACAAAGTGGGTGGACTTCAGTCTTTAGAGGAAAAAGAATAAACATCCTGAAAGCTGTAACTAAAAATTTCCATTTTTCTCCAATCCTTTTATTGCAATTATTGTCACACTTGAAATATTCAGCATCCAAATTCAAACCTTAAGTTTTGCAAAAAGCCTCCAATTCAAGGTGCTGGGGTAGGGGCAGGGGCGGGGTGGAGTGTGAGTGTTTTGCGGGGGAGGGGTGAGGCAGCTGAAATCATTTTGGTAGAAATCCAGCTCTACTGAATGAGCATTAACACTCTGACAGGTATTACATTTAAAATACACCAGTGGTTACAGAACATCGGTCATCCAATTTTCTCAGACACAGGTGACTGAAGTAACTTTGTGATGCCCCTATTCCAGAGCGCAAAATACTTGAGCTCCAAGCGGTCTACCTGGAGTTGAGGAAGGTGTGAAGTGAGTCCTAAGGAAATATCAAAGGAAAACTTCAGTCCAGGACAACTTGGATATAAAAGGTGAAGACAGGCAGGTATCACAGATGACCATGAAAATGGCAGCTCTATTTAGTAGTTGTATAACCGGCCTTCCCAGGACAGACCCCTCCCCCAGGTCCCCTGCTATAGCTCCTCTTTGAAGTACCCAGATAATTGTGTCTGATGCACATTTCCTGAGTTGTTTTACAGATGCTAAAACCCACACCAAATGGAAGAAGTTAACTACTTGATGACCAAGAGCACGTAGCCCCCAGGCCTACTGGGGCCTAAGGATAGATAGATAATGTTAACCACAGCCCTGTTAACTCACCATCAATCAACCAATCAGAGAATTGTGCACGAGCTGATCACACACACTGGGATGCCCCTCCCTCATTTGGCCTTTTAAAAATGTTTTGATGCAATCCATGGGGAATTTAGGTGTTTTGAGCACTAGCTGTCCTGAACTTCTTGCTTGGTGCCCTGTAATAAATGCTGCACTTTCCTTCACCACGACCCGGTTTCAGTAGATTGCTTTACTGCACATGGGCGAACAGACCCAGGATCACCCATTCCTATCTTCTTAGGGTTATCCTTGACCCATCTGGTATCTCACACAAGGAGGAAAGATCCAGAGTTTCTAGGGCCTGAAGCCTATACAGTGAGGCTCTTAAATAATACAAACATAGATCGATAGATGATAGATAGATCCGCCAAACTTTTGAAAAACATATGCTGATGAAAGTACACTGAGGGGTCCAGAAGCCTCCCTCAGTAAATCCCCTTCTGCCCACACTACCCTCCAGTTGTTTCTACCTTCAATATATGCCAAGAACCTCTTTTCCATCTCTACCCCTAACATCCTGGACCCAACTACCTTCATGCCTTGCCTGAACTACTGAAATAGCCTTCAAACCATCTGATCTTCCTGCATCTTCCCTTGTGTCTTTATAGTCTATCCATCCCACAGCAGGCAAATTAGATTATGTCCTTGCTTGGTTCAACATCCCCCCAAATTTTTTTTTCATAGCAATATATAAAGTCCTCACTATGCCTTTCAGGGTCCTGCTTTATTGGCTCACCCTATGTCTCTTGGAACAAGTTCCCTCCCATACTCTGCCCCTTACTAACACCTCTTGCCACCCAGGAATCCTTGCTGTTCCTCCCTGGTTTTGGAACCAGCCAAACATGCCCCCTGGCTTTTGCATTTGCTGTTCTTGATGTCTGGATACTCTCCTCTGAAATCCTCACTTCCGGTAGGTCTACACTTCAAGGTCACTTTAGCAGAGATGCCTTCCCAGACCACTTGATATAAAACTGCAGTGCACGGCCCCCTCCAACACACACATCTGATCCTCCTTGCTTTGGAGTTTTCTTTACAGGCTTAGCCTCGTTTGGCATAATTTGTTCATTGTTTTACTCTCCTTCCTCTAGACTGTAAGCTCTCTGAGGGTAGGGATTTTTCTTTATTCACTGCTGTGCCTCCATTCTTAGAACAATGCTTGACACCTAGCAGGCACTTAATAAATATTTATGGAAAGAAAAAGAAATTACCTAACCTGGGGAGTTAGGTTAATCATGATGTCATTGGCAGAGGAACATAAATTTGGGGGAGAGATGGTGGAATTCCTTCTGGATGTTAAGTCTCAAGTGACTGATTTCTTAAATTATCATTGCACTTGGTGAATAAATACCAATTTGGTGATGGAGAAGAAAGGAAGCCCTAGGAGTTACCCACCATGAACAAGACCTTGAAAAAAAAATGTCAGTTACAAAGTTTGGTAACTTTGTAAAAAGTTACCAAAGTTAAATGCACTAAGTCTTCAATGAAGTTCCACTCTATTTCACTACACGTTGATTTCATCTTCCTTTCGTGTTCCGAATAGACAGACTACAAGGACAAAACAGTGTCTTTCAAGAGGCAATTTCTCAGATGGTGAACATAAATCAGCTGGTAATTTTACTCTAAGTTTTACTTCTAGGGGTGAGGTAGCAAGGGGGCCCACTCCCGCCTGGGATTCAGATGCAATCTTCATCCTTGAGGTCTCTCCAGGAGGAACTGAGTTCCAGGAGGAGCGTTTTCAGAGGACGCCAACAGTTTAGGGCAGTTCAAATGAGCAGTCCCTGCGTTTGGTTCTTTCTCCCAACAATACAGCTAGTGAACGAGAGCGGCTTGGATGTGCTTGGTTCCCTTCTCCGCAGGGACGCTCTTTGGGCTGCTGGGCTGCTGGAAAAGGTCTTTGTGGCGGGCTTTTCCCTTGAGCATGAGGGTCTGAATTTCTTCAGCTGGGTCTGAATATCTTCAGCTGGGGAAGAGTCCGGGTGTTTCGGGGACACAGGATTTCCAAGTCAGGGTTCTCTACATAATTTTCCCACAGAGGCTCCCCTCGGAAACTATTTGATACTTCTGAGGAGCCCGGCTCCCTTGCATGAGTTCTCTGTTTACCAGAAAACAAATGTTCCTGCTTTGAAGGCTATAAACGGTGGCCACAGGAGATCATGTCTGCCCTGGAGTCCGGCTTCCGGCTCTCGTGGTGTCAGCGAAAGCTCTAGGGGGTGAACGCAGTAGTCAACTGCTCATTCATTCAACAAATATTTATTGAGCGCCCGTGGAGTGCCAGGCACTGCGGGTGCCCCGGGGGCGAGAAACAACTCATCCTAGATCCTAGTTCCTTATTCACTCATCCTAGTTTCCCCAGATGCTCCGGCACGCGCGGTGGGAGCGGACCCCGCATCCTCGGCCGCCCCGCCTGGGGGTGCCCGGCGCCTCCAGCGCAGCCCTCCGGACACCCGCGGCGGGGAACCCGCCCCCCGGGATCCAAGGGGTTTAGTCTGGGTGGGGAAGGCGGGGAAAAAAGCAAAACACCAGAAGGAAAAAAACTGTATCCCAGTCTGTGCTGGGGAACTGCTCCCGGGAAGTGCGCAAGGCGGAGCCAGCCCCGGCCGGGGAGAGCGCGGAGTCCGGGGCGGGCCGGCGGGAGAGGCCGGGCGCCCGCGGGTCGGGGCGCGGAGGCGGCCTCGGCGGGCGGAGGGCGCGGCCTGCGGGAGGGGCCGGGGCGGTGCCGGGAGGGGCGCGCACGGCGCCGCGGCCGCCGGGCCCAGCAGGTGACCGCGGCCCGGGGTTGGAGCCGGAGCGGATCGTGGGCAGCGCCGCGAGGAGACGGCGCGCGGGGCCGGGCGAAGTTTGGTGGAACATGGCGGAAGAGTCCGGGGCGCGCAGGGGCGCGGCGCGGTGGCAGCCGGAGCCCTGGGAGCTGTAGCCGCCGCCGCCGCCGCCGCTGCCGCGGGGCGAGGTCGCCGCCATGGCCCGCTGGATCCCGACCAAGAGGCAGAAGTACGGAGTTGGTGAGTGCTCGCCCCACCCCGCCCCCGACCCGGCCGCCAAGTTCGCGGGAGCGGCCCTGCCCCGCGCAAAGTTGGGCGGCGGACGCCGGGCCACTCGGTGCCCGCCTGCCCGGGACCCGGCTCCGTCTCCCGCTGCCCGCGGGGGCGCCGAGAGGGTTCGGCTCCAGCTGCAGCCGTCCCACCGAGCGGGCGGTGGGAGTCGGAGCCCTCTCCGGGAGCCCCGTGGGGGAAGTCATCCTGGGTTTGGGGAATCCGGGTGGCTAAAAGTGCAGTTGGGCTCCGGGACTGGCAATCCTGCCCCCAAGCCCAAAGCTGCAGCGCTTTGCAGCGTAGAAACGTGCAAAGTGAGGGCGTTCGCCTGTGGTTCATTTGGGGCACCCAGGTCTGGTGCTCGCCCCCCTCCTCCCTGTCCGTGTGGCTTCATTCAGTACTTTGTAACCAGCCGAGGCCGGCAGAACGCGAAGTCGGCTGGTTGCCCCAGTGCTTTCTGCCCTCCCGCTTCGTAGGTTCTCTCTGAAACCTAAAGAGAAGAGTTGGGGGTAGGAAGCCGCCCTCCCCTCGTTCCTCCCAGGCACTGGGATCCTGATAGCAGTTGTAAACTGATCGGGAAACTCAAGTTGTGGTGTGGAGGTGATGGAAGCCACAGGAAGTGTGTGGCATGGGGACGGGGGTGGCTGGCCCCCGGGGCTGGTTGTGCGGACAGTCATCCCCTACCGGAGCGTGTATGGAGAGGATTTCAGACTGCCTTCAGAATTCCGATCCCGTTGTGGGATTAGATCGAGGACATTTTATTAAGAAAACTATGACAGGTCCCATGCTAGGCACTTGGCATTCATAACAGCGGTGCTGGAGGGGCCCCAGGATGTGTGGGGAATTGCTTTTGTATTAGTTTCGATCCGAAACAAGTGGATGAGCGGGTTTTGACCCAGGTGAAAAACCTTGGTCCTACTTTTATCAAGGGGTGAGGTTGCTGAGGTCTTGTGGGAAGACTGCCACTTAGCGGGGCAATTACAGTGGCTATTAGGCTTGGGTGCCATTCCCTAGTATAAACACAGTTGTGTGCGTTGAGAATTTTATCACTTCCTGTCAGGGTCATTCATTGGGCCTATTTGGAAGTTAGTCTTCGACTTCACTCCCATCCCGCCCCCATTTTTTTCCTCACCTCAGTCGTTACTAGGGAGCGGTCCCTGAACCTGTGCTATACTTTCTGACGACTATGTCTGTTTCAGAGATACTGTATCTTAACATCTCTATGTGCATTTCAACTCTGTAGTCAGTTACAAAAAACAAACCAACCTTCTCACATTGATTACTTTTAGATTGTGATCCTTTATGTATATATGTATATGTGTGTGTGTATATAATAACATGCATGTAATTCCTTGTTTTCCCTCTGTTGCAAACACTTTCTTTCCTTTAAATTTCTTTTAGAATCCTTGCACTCTCCTATGGTTGTAACTCAGAAATGGGTGCATGTTGTTACTTCTGCTCCAGACCATCCCCCTCATGAATTGGTCATAAAATTTCAGACAGGTGTTCCTCATCAGGTGCCAGTAAGTAGCCAGTAGTTGTGGAAATGAGATGGAGTCAGTTTCTTTGTGAGTGTTATTGGGTACTAACTCCTAAATTAAAGTAGACTTAGCAATATCTAATCAATAATTACTACTCACAAAAGTTATCAGTTCTAATTTTGTTTAACAGGAGAAACGCTTTCCAAAACTATTATGACTTTGGTGTAGTTAATGCAAACATATCCGAAAAATGTGGGTTTTATTGCCATAGTCATAGGAACAAGGATGGTATTTTCTCTTTTTAATTTTTCTTTCTTTTTTTTTTCCTGTTCTAGAGTCTGTTATTTATCATCAGACAAGAAAAGTGAATTGCATTTCCAAAGCATATGTGGTAGCAAAATTGCCCCAAGATATAATTTGGGAAATTTATTTCACTAGACACAATAGGTTCTGATTAATCTGGATTTGACACAAGGGCCCACTGTTAGGACAGATGAGCTGATGAGATCAATGTCCACTGTTTATTCCTAAAACACATGGTTGTTCATATTACCTCCCTGCTTGGAAGCCTTCCTTGACCTACCGGCTAAAGTGTAAACTGAGCCCAGTTTTCAAGGTTCTGAGGATCCAGTTCAGCAATATCTTCACAAACCATCTCTCTCACAGCTTCTTCCATCAACCCTCCGGTGCAGACACTGCCCTTCTCCCTCTTGTGCAATATACCATGGAGAGTCCCTCCTTTGGGACTTTGCTCCCCTGTGCTTGTCCCCTGTTCAGAGTGCCCTCCCACCTCTACATCCCACAATCCGGCCTTTCACCCAGGCCTCAAAGCCCTACCCCACTGCCTCCTTCAGATTTGGTGTTCCGCGGACCTCATAACCTTCACGCCTCTCCCTCACCATTCCTACATTTTATTACTTATCCTTTGGTTCAGTGAATCAGAAGGTTATGGTTTTGTATTCCTGTGACTCGAGAGGGATACCGCTACAGAGCATGCGTTCAGTAACTGGCTGTCCTTGGCGTTGGGGTGGCGTTCTAAAGCGCCAACCTAATTTCTGTGATGATTTAGTGCAGTTTTTTTCCCCATTAGGTTTCAGCATCTCATTCACTCCAATATGACTTTTATTTTGTTCTGTTAGATCCATCCGTTAGATGGATGAAGCGAGAGCCTTCAGTCTGTCTTTATCTTTGCAAGTAAAAAAAGAGGTGTGCTGCTGAGAAAACAGGCATGGAGTAGACAGACTTGCTTAAATATGATTGGGGAAACTGGCTTGTTGGACTTATGGTGGGGGGATTATTGTCCTTTCTGAGGGTCTGCTGGACAGATTTCGTTTCTGCTGGAAGGAAACCATGTGATGGCCGTTGTGAAGCATGTTAATGAGTCACAGCTACTCTGCGTGAGGGTAGTGTTTGATCTCAGTTTGAATTGTGCACGGTGAAGCTAGCTGTCTCTACTTATCTTGGTGCCACTATTGGCTATCCCTGACAGCTAGGTTTTTCTACAGGGACTGAAATGCAACCTGTCTGGGCTTTCTTAGTTCTTCAACTGTTGACTCAACCTCTAGCATCAGGTGGGCTTAAATGACCTATTGTCGGTTATCGGGTAAGAGGACCACAGACTTGGTTCTTTAAACTTCTGGGCCATTAGTGCCCTGATGTGAAGTGCTGAGGGCTGCCCCACAGCCATGGAAAACTCTTTTCTTTCTCCCTTCATTTTTTTTTTTCTTGTTTTCTTTTCCTTTATTCTTTCCTTCATTTTGCGTGTTTTAAGATATGAAGGTCGAAAACTTTTATTTAGATGTTACGCAGTGATACATTTATCGAAACATTTCTTAAGTCTGTTCCCAAACAAGCTATTTCTATTAAGAACAGACCCAGATTATGTTGATGATGGAACCTTTGCAAAATCATTCATTATTGTTTGGTGGGATTTGTCCTATACGTTTTTATATTGTGATAAAAGGTAGTTTGGGGGAATATTTGCTTCACTGTTAGCTTTTCGACTATTTCGCTGTGCTAGGCCCAGTTAGTCTAAGAGCATTTAACTTTGTAGTTTCTCAAATGTTAGTGTAAAAACCAAAACCGGATTCTTGTGCTTTGTTAATGCACTGAGGTGTGCTGTGGGTCCCCATTCAGTTCTTCCTCACCACGGGCACCGTGTTCCATAGGCTCTAGCTGGAGGGGTGGAATTTGGTCTCACAGGGTGATTAGTTCAGTTCCCTTTTAAAGACAGGAACTTGATGCCTAAAGAGGTAAAGTGAATTGCTTAACATAAGTTGTTCTTACTTTTTTGGTTACATGAATGCCTTTGGCCAATCAGGTTAAACCCTTAAGGTGGCCCACTTTCTCAGAACAGTGTTCTTAATTGCATAAAGTCAAATATGAAGGACTGAAAATTGAAGCCACCTGTAATTGAAGTACAGCTGTCAAGAGAGTTTTCAAAAATTTGTGATATTGTAATATATGTGCTTCTTTATTAATGCATAATAACTACCATACTTTTGAATTAGTGATGAGCATATACAATTTTTCAAGATATCTGTAGTAACCATAATATAGGAAAATGCCTGTGATTTCTTTAAAAGATTTTTAAACTTTTTTATTGGAGTAGAGTTGATTTACAATATTGAGTTAGTTTCAGGTGTACAGCAAAGTGAATCAGCTATACCTATACATATATCCATTCTTTTTCAGATTCTTGTCCCATATAGGTTATTACAGAATACCGAATAGAGTTCCCTGTGCTCTACAGTAGGTCCTTGTTAGTTATCTATTTTATATATAGTAGTGTGTATTTGTTAATCCCAATCTCCTAATATATCACTTCCCCCTCAGTGTTTCCCCTTTGATAACCATAAGTTTGATTTCAAGATCTGTGAGTCTGTTTTTGTTTTGTAAAAAAGTTCATTTGTATCATTTTTTATTAGATTCCACATATGAGTGATATCATATGATATTTGTCTTTGTCTGACTTACTTCACTCAGTATGATAATCTCTGTGTCCATATATGTTGCTGCAAATGGCATTATTTCATTCTTTTTCTATGGCTGAGTAGTATTCCGTTGTACATATGTACCACATCTTCTTTATTCACTCCTCTGTCGATGGACACTGAGGTTGCTTCCATGTCCTGGCTATTGTAAATAGTGCTGCAATGAACATTGGGGTGCATGTATCCTTTCAAATTACTGTTTTCTCCAGATATATGCCCAAGAGTGGGATTGCTGGGTCATATGGTAGTTGTATATGTAGTTTTTAAAGGAACCTCCATACTCTTCTCCATAATGTTTGTACCAGTTTACATTCCCACCAACAGTGTAGGAGAGTTTAATTTATTTTTTAATTGAAGTATAGCTGATATACAATGGTGTTAGTTTCAGGTGTATAGCAAAGTTATACGTATATATATCTTTTCTTTTTCAGATTCTTTTCCATTGCAGGTTATTACAAGGTATTGAATATAGTTCCCTGTGCTCTACAGTAGGCCC